TCAGCTGGTTTAAATCATTTTGAATACTTGTGTTTCAAATTTTTTAATCTAATGATAGTTCGAAATCTCAATAAGACTTTTACCTAAATGGTGTTTAGACAGACAAATAGTTAGGATTTTCATTTTCGTTTTATTTCAGTATATTTATCCCGTATCAATTTTAAATCAATTTTGTCCAGATATTATTTATCAGATTATTATTTATGGGGAAAATAATCTTATTTGGCTGTGATTCTGTAATAATAAAGTAAAATAAAAGCGGGTTAAATCGCTCTTTGAAATCACAGCATGTAGTACTTTAGTACTTGATGCATTATTGATGCCTCCTCAGTGTTAATATCAGTGTCCTCTTTCCTCGAGTTCATCCGCTGGGACTGCTGCAGTAGAGCCGGGGCAAGCGCGCACGCACACAACTGTAGGTACGCGCGCACACGCACGCCAGTTCCTTAGCTGCATGGGGGAACTTCACGTCCATGCTGATTTTTTTCTTTTCTTTTCTTATCTTTTTCTTTTGGGGGGCGGGGGGGTGCTTTCATTTTTTTTAGATGCTCTGACGTCAGGAGACGGCGTCAAGCAGGCGGCAGCGTCCCCGGGTCCGGGTTGCACGCGCAACCCAGCACAATTATTGTCTGTCAATCACGCGAGGAGGCGGAAGGAGACAGGGAGGCAGAGGAAGAGACTTGCAGCGAACTGTGCGCCACTAAAGCATCCAAACAAGCAATAAAAACAAGACAACAACATCTGAAATGAAACAAACATGTGTGCGCAAGTCTTGTGCAGATTATTGTCACGTCTTAAAATAAAATAAAATGAAATAAAATAAAATAAAATAAAATTATAATTAAATAAAATATCCTCAACTCGATTTCTGTATGGGTTTTAGTTAAAATAAATAAATGAAATCTAAATAACCCTGTTGGATATTAAACATTAGCTGAATTGGATTTAAAATAAGTGCAGTAGAAATAAATATTTCCTTGATTCTGGACATTTTTTTTACCTAAGATCCCATGAAGGCATGAGTGTAATTGGCTGAGTCCAGCTTGATTCAGGCCCCGCCCCTTACTCCTTAACAAGCCTGGCCCCGCGCTGTCACACACTTTGGTGTTTTCAGTCCCAGCGGACACTGTTGTGAAGCTGGACCTGCAGAGAAGGAGCTGCACATCGGAGAGCAGGGAAGCAGGGAAAACATCGGCAACAAAAGGTAAAACACGGTTGTTGAACAAAACAGTTTTTTGGATTTGGTTTGATTTTTACGCACGAGAGAAAAAAGGCTGCTCCTTTTTAAATATTAAACAGATATTTGTTGTTCGCAGGTTTTCAGTGCCAAACTCCACGTCCAAAAGAAAGGAAAAGCTTTAAATAACCACCTGCTGCAAAAAAAGAAGATCTCCATTTAAAAACAATTCCTGGATATTTGTTTTATTTTTTTTTAAAAAAAGAAGAAGAGGAGGCGCGCCGGTGCGTCATGATGGATGTGGCGGCTGATCAGCCCCGCTGGATGCCTCACCACGCAGTGCTGAACGGACAACACCCGGACTCCCACCACCATCCCGGCCTGGGCCACAACTACATGGAGCCCGCGGCGCAGCTGCTGCCTCCGGACGAGGTGGATGTTTTCTTCAACCACCTGGACTCGCAGGGAAACCCTTATTACCACAACTCGGCCAGGGCCAGGGTGTCCTACAACCAGGCGCACAGTAAGAGCTGCTCAGACACGAAGCTGATGCGTCAGTTCTTGTTGTGAAACCTTAAAACAGTCAGATTTATGTTCGACTCGGTTTACTTTTATCTAAATTTGAAAATTATTAAATTAGTGTGCGCTGCGGGCTTTATGTTAGGAGATCTGATAACTGATGTTTTAAACCTGAATTACATAATCCACGAGCACTTTATTTATAAATTCAGCTTTTTTTATTTTAAGCCAATGGTTCCGATGAATCAACACGTGTTTATTTATTTGTTTGTTATTTTAAACTTTCAAAATCAGTGTGATGATAAATGATTTTTTAAAAATTCGCAGCTCGTCTGACGGGGTCTCAGGTCTGCCGGCCGCTTCTCCACAGTCCGGGACTTTCATGGCTGGACGGAGGGAAAGCAGCCTTGTCGGCCCACCACCACCACCACCACCACCACAACCCCTGGGCCGTGAGCCCCTTCAGCAAGCCCACCCTGCACCACCACCACCCGGGCTCGGCCTCGCCCGGCTCCCTCCCGGCCGTGTACCCGTGCAGCTCCAGCGCGGTCTCCGCGTCCCCGCCGTCCCAAAGCAGCTCCCAGCTGTACCCGTTTCCCCCCACACCACCCAAGGACGTGTCCCCGGATCCAGGAGCCGCGTCTCCCCACTCCTCTTCCCCATCCTCCTCCTCCTCCTCCTCAGCCGTCAGGATGGACGAGAAGGACTCTCTGAAATACCAGCCCCTACCTGAGGTGATGAAGATGGAGGAGTCGAGTCCGCTGAGGGGCAGCTTGACACCCTCCACCCACCACCCCATCCCGACCTACGCCCCCTACTCTCTCCCGGCGGCCCACGAGTACGGCGGCAGTCTGTTCCACCCGGGCAGCCTGCTGGGCTCTCCACCCGGCTTCAGCTCCAAGCACAAAGGCAAGGCCCGCTCCTGCACCGGTGAGCCGAACATAACAGTTCAACATGATCAAATAATAATAATAATAAAACATAAATAATTCGGCCTGCACTGGACACAGAGGCTTTATAAACGATCTTAGATTTTAAAATATGTTCTCAACATTTACATGGTACAAAGATGCGTTTGTTGATGTGGGACAGATTTGTTCACAGACTAGTTTTAAATAACACATTTAACAGTCAGATCTTTTTGTATTTCTTTAAAAATGTGCTTGTCTCGCTTTGTTTAAAAGTAATCTAAGTAAAATAAAATAAAATAATGTCATAGACTTTTAATGTAATCCAAAAAATGTAAAAGTTAAGAAATTGTTTCATTTATTGATAACACCTCAGCATCTTTACTGCAGCTTGACGAGAAATAGAAACATTTAGATATAAAAGTAATTTTTATAATTAAAAAAACAATATTTTTTTAAAGAATAAACCAAACAAAACAAAAAAAAATCTAGAGTAAAAATCTATATGTGAAAGAAACAGAACCACAAAGCTCTCATGGGAAAAAATGTTTTTAAACCTTTGTTCTAACAATGCAACAACAGATTTTATTCTACTTTATTTTGATTCATTCTAAATGCATGCTGTGGTTCGAAAATCTTATATATACATATATATAAATAAAAACTCCTAGTAATAAAAATATTAATATTGATGACCAGAACCTGCATGAGTCACGTCTATTTACTTTGTGTTTCAATGAGTTTGAGCTGACTGCAGCAAATTGAGTCTGACCCCCCACCCAAAAAAAAAAACAAAAAAAAAACCCTTAAATATTTCACTTGAGAGTCACTTCTCTGTTAAATTAGAGACTGTTCTCATATTATTTGATTACAGAAGAGATTATCAAGTTCTGAAGATGCTTGCAGAGAAACTCAAACATGCTTTCATGAAACTGCCTATTACTAAAGGTGCTGTTTTTTCAGTGGTTGGAAACTAAAACATTTTTTTGCATTGTAATTATTTTATGAGTTACTGAAGTTTCAAGTGAAAAGATTAATTTCATTAACTTGAAAAAAAGGCTCTGTTGTGCTCTGATAATGATTGTTTATGCTGTGAACATGCGCGAAGCTCCTCTTCAGCATTTATCTCCATACTGCACGTTTTCCACACCTGCAAAATTCATATTTAATCTAATTAAAGATCCAAAACTACTGACGAATCTTATAAAATTAACAACCTGCCGCACATGAACACGAGTTGAACTCTGACACACAGCTGACCTCCTGTGTTTGTGTTGTCCCTCAGAGGGCCGTGAGTGTGTGAACTGTGGGGCCACCTCCACGCCTCTGTGGAGACGTGACAACACCGGGCACTACCTGTGCAACGCCTGCGGCCTGTACCACAAGATGAACGGCCAGAACAGACCCCTCATCAAACCCAAACGCAGACTGGTGAGTCGTCCCCCCCCCCACCCACCCACCCATTTCTGTGGACGGAGCTGAGTGACTGTGTGTTTTGTTGGAGGGCAGTAAATAAAAAGAGCATAAGGTGAGGGGTGAAGGGAGGAGGTACAATTCCTGGAAAGTTATATTTTCCCCAATCAGCTTCCGGCAATTGTGTTTGCCACTCACCTTTTGCTCCTGCAGCCCAGGCTGTGAGCCGAGTGGGGCCCTCTGTGTTGTAGTTGTTATCAATATTGCAGCTACTCCTGATACTGACACTGATAGCAGGGTCAGTGGAGCGTCTATTAAAACAGCTGAGCTGACCTTTTTATGCCTTAATAAGCTGCAGCATCACACTCAAGTGGTTCTTTGGAGGTCTTTTTCTTTTTAAAATGTGAAAGAAGCCGAACCTCAGAATGATCAGATTCCATTAAAATGCTGCAAAGTCAGAATTAAAAAGGATGCTTAGATTTAACAACTGGGTAGTTTATTATGTTTGTTTGTTTATTTTTTATCAACAAATTATAACTGATAGGAAATCAGCTGTTGTATCTTGATGCAGAAAGCGTTATTCTGATTTAGTGATGTGCACAAATGGTCATAAATACTTTCATCTTGATTTAAACAACAGGATGTCAGACATCATTGTTAAATCAGTCAAATTTAATAATGCTAAAATGTAAACAACCTCCAAAAATCACAAGTTTGCAAGTTTTTTATGAGTCAAAATTGAATTGTTTTAAAAGAAAAATGCTTTTTTGTGGGGTGGGTGGCATTCCTTTTCCCTCACAYATTAGAAGTCACTCTCGTCGCCTCCGAGAACTAAATCCTTGAAACACGGGCAGGAAAACAAGCTTGTCTGCTTCATACAAAAYGATCCTAACTTTGTTTCTGCGCCACGAACCGGGCCTGCAGAAACACAGAGACGGTCATATATCAGCTCTGGTTTCCGCGCAGCTCGGTCCGGGACTCGCAGCTCTGCAGCAGCAGAACCTCCACTTGTTTCCTATCCGGATGCCTGACCGCTCCTGATAAAGCAGCAGCACCCCCACCATCACTATAACCCCCTCCCACACACACACACACACACACACACACCCCTGCGGCTTCTTAACTACAGACCTCAGTCCTGAGTGGTCAAGCTTTCCGTCCACCACAGAGACGGAGAGGCAGAGAGGGGGAAAAAAAGAACAAGAGAAATAAATAGGTCAACCTTAGATGCTGATGTGAACCTCAAGGAACTTTTTTTTTTTTACCATTTTTTACCATTTACCATTATGATTAGGTGCAGGTTATTGTTGAAAATGTATCAGAAATTGAATTTAAAAACACCAAAGGTCACTAAAACACCCTGCATAAATAAAAAATCCCTTATTTTAATATTTAGGTTCTAGAGATTAAAAAACTTAACCAACTTAAATATCAAGAACAGCAAAGATTAGTTATTATTTTGCTGGTGATGAAAAGAAAATTACCGTACAGTTTTTGTTGCAAAGACAGCAAAGATTAATCTTTTTTGTTTGTCTGTCATTTCCATCAAAGTAAATGAGTTACAGTGTTGTTGGGTAAAACCAAACTTTTATCAGACATTTTGACCATTTTCTTTTGCTTTTAAATCTCCTCATGAACTCTTGGAACAAGCATCAATCCACAAGTGTCTACTGTTTTTGGAGTCCACATTTTTAAATGGGATCTTCACACCACTCCATGAGCGAAAAATTCTGTTTCCAACGTATAAACCTCTAAATGCAGAAAGTGTTTATTCCTGCTCTCACACTGATTAAAGCTGAATCTTTGTTCGATCTCTCACAGTCTGCTGCTAGACGGGCGGGCACCTGTTGTGCCAACTGCCAGACGACCACCACCACCCTTTGGCGGCGCAATGCGAATGGCGACCCGGTGTGCAACGCCTGCGGCCTCTACTATAAGCTGCACAACGTAAGTGTCTGACCTCTGACCCTCAGCGTGGGGGTAGGTAGAGTGTTGATCATCAAGGAAGAATGTGGAGGAGAAACACAGAGAAACATTCTCCTCTCAGACTCTGTGGTGTTTAATTCCATCAGGGTCACAGAGTGACTGAAGTGTCTCTTTAGCATCAAGACTAATACTTGTGATGATGATTGAATTAACAAGTAGCACTTGTCCACTTACAGTCTGACTGTTCTAAAGAAAGCTGCTGAATGAGGCAACAGATGAGTGACTGAATAATTGAACACATCTTCATCCTTGATAGTTACYATGAGCACTGATTTATACTGGATCAGTGTCACATGTTGTAGCTCAGTGAGCATTAACCAGTGGCTCACAAGCAKTTAACTCAAAAATGAATTTCATACTGATAAAAGTCAAGTCTTCTTTCTGCTCTGCAGCTGAAAATGAAAAGAGGTTTATTGCTTTTTATCACCAATATTAGACTCATCAGTCAAACTCCATTTATTTTATGAGTAGAGAATATGGAACACACTTGTTTTTTAATTTTTTTAAAACTTTTTTAAACCTAAAAGCATTTTAGTTTAGATCAGGGCTGCCACGATTAATCGATTAATCAACAACTAATCGATTATTAAAATAATCGATGACTAATTTAATAATCGATTAATCGTTTTCTTTTCTTTTTTTTTGTTCTTTACTTTGTTTTTCTCTCCAAACTGCTTTGACACCTTCCACTGCCACATCTGCCTTTCTGTCMTTGACACACATGCACAGTAGTGGTAACTGGGGTAGGCCGTGGACGTCACAAGACATTATACAGACAGGCTCTGGTATCATGGCTACCCAGCAACGGAGCTCAAAAGTGTGGGATCATTTTAAGAAAATGAAAGAGAAACCTGTGCAATATCTGCAGAGCAGAACTTGCCTTCCACAGCAATTATTTTTAGTTAGCATATAGCTAAAATCTAACCATGGTTATATACTACACATTCTCACTCCCATGTCGTCACATATTGACGCTTTTCCAAGGTTCCCTCTACGTCCGATTTTGACGCGCCGGGTACCCCCCTCRCGTCAGTCCTTGACGCCCGCGGCTTTTCCAGGTTGCGCCACCAGGGGTCTTTGGGTCGGGGGTCTGAGGTTAACATGAGGGATCAGGATTAATGGTTAAGTTTAGGTACTGGGATCAGGGGTAGGATGTCCATGGTGAATATTAGGTAATTTCAGGCTTTGGAACATGTTGACGTGAATTTCCTACATTTTCTAAAAATGGTTAATTTTAGGTACTAGGGTCAGGGACAGGATGTCTAAAGTGAACAAAGGTAATTTCAGGCTTCGAAACGGTAGTTTTTGCGCATTTTCTACACTTTCTGAAAATATGACAACAGATTTCGCCCCATCTCGTCAGTAACTGACGTGACGGGGGTACCCGCCGCGTCAAAATCGGACGTAGAGGGAACCTTGGAAAAGCGTCAATATGTGACGACATGGGAGTGAGAATGGGTTGTTATATAATAGCAGCTGCATTCTGACGTGAAAAACTGTATGTTTTATATTCAATTAACGTATGATCTGATTAGTCGACTAATCGAATAAATAATAGGTGATTAATCGATTATTAAAACAAACGTTTGTGGCAGCTCTAGTTTAGATACAAGGAGATTATTTGCAGTTGTGGTTTTAAGTGAGAGATGTTTTTCTCTGCCTGGAATGGATCTGCTTCAGTTATTCTTAATCTGAACTCCCACGTTTTTACATTTGATCATGCTTCTGTAACACCCCTTCAAACAACGTCTCTGACCTCTTCGCCCATTCTGTCCCTCGCAGGTGAACCGGCCCCTCACCATGAAGAAGGAGGGAATACAGACTCGTAATCGGAAGATGTCCAACAAGTCCAAAAAGAGCAAGCGGGCCTGCGACAGCTACGAGGAGTTTTCCAAAAGTCTGCACGACAAGAGCTCCCCCTTCTGCGCCGCCTCCCTGGCGGGCCACATGTCCATGGGTCACTTGCCGCCTTTCGGCCACACGGGGCACATGCTCCCCACGCCCACTCCCATACACCCGTCGTTCGGCCACCCGCACCACTCGAACATGGTGACGGCGATGGGCTGAGGGGCCGAGAGGATGGGTTTCCTTATGTTTAAAGACATGATTACACAAAAAGGGGCATAATGAAAGCCAGTGTGTACAGTGTTTCAGACATGCGGCACGTGTGTCTATAACTTTGATTGTCTTTTAAATTTTTTTTCCGATACTTCTGTGAGAAGAGAAGCCTTTTCCTTTATTATCTATAGGTACCAAATCTGATGGAGAAACATTCGGCTTCCTGTCAGGCCAGGCACGCACTTATAAACACAAAAAATGTCTGAGTTTTGTCCCCACGGACAGCCTGACCGACTGCAGCGAGGTTCAACACGTGTTGAACAGGTTTATTGTAACTGTGAATATTGTAAAAGTGTGAGACCAAAGGGTTGTGTCCCCCGACCGATAAAACTACCCTTTACTACTTAAAAACATGCTGGGATTTTGTTTTTGCTCATGGACACTTTTTCCACGAGAGAGAGAGAGAGAGAGAGAGAGAGAGAGAGAGAGAGAGAGAGAGAGAGAGAGAGAAAGCAAAGCAAAAAAACAAAAAAGGTTTATGGTTTATAATCTGACACTGTTTATTATAAATATTGTTATTGTAAGTAATATTGTTATTCAGATAATTTATTTTCACTATTTTTTGTGACTATATGACCTGATTTCTAATAGGGATGATGTTATCCCAGTTATGAGAATATTTTTAGCTGAAGCGCTTTGTCTGAGCTGGTTGACATTTATACTTTAAGAAATAAAGAAATTAACCTCTGATCTTTTTCTGTTTATTAAATATCAGGTGAAATAAAACATGCGTTAAATCTGAGAGGGAARCTGATATATGACCAGGTTTGCAAGTAAAATGGTTGATTTGGGAGATACAAATGAAAACAGAGAAATCAAAGCAGCAACAATTACAGGATATAGTTTCTTAMAGTTTTATAAAACATTATTAGGATGCTCTTCATCCTCACTGGAGCTTCTTACTCACACAATCTCCACAGTTGATTTTCATAAACTACACACACATTTCACACAATTAAAAAATGTGAAAAGATGTACATTCTTATTCTAAAATCCTTTTTGCATAATGGCAGACTGCGGCCCTGTTTACATCTTAATTTCTGGAAACATTAGCATTTTTTCTGTGTGGATTGTGGGAAAAGTTACACAAGAAATGTTCTTGTTAAATCTGTTGTTTCAACACTGATCTGGTGCTGTGAGTTTGTATTAAAACGACACAGAAATATGCACAATTCAGTCCCAAGCATGAAAAGTCTTTGTTTGGACTGAGGATGARGTTGATGTTGGAAAAGGTGAATAATACAAACATCAGTCTGCAATTCCTCCATTATTACTGATGTTAATCTCACTCAAGTGCAGAAAAACTGACTGCAGCTCATGCCCACATGGGATTTAACATCGATGTTGGGTGTTTCCAAATAGATTTCATAACAGCTGAACGGCAGCAGAAAAGCTACAGCTTAACTAAAACACAATTTGGTGTAAACTGACTTCACTTTCTTGACTCTTTTTTAATTCACGTTGATCAATTTTCACCTTCACATTAATTTTCAATAGGAACTTTTAGAATTAGCTATAATCACAATCGTTCAAATTGTAGCATCTATCACAGCAGCAAGTTATTTCAGAGGAAGTTAGATCTGAATGCGGAAACCTCCGAAAGTTACCTTGTCAGTTATTTACCACTGATATTTAGTTGCATTATTTATCATACAGCTGAGATAACCTATCCATGTCATTATTTACCCAGAATGCTTTGCGTGTCATTAAAATGGCTCCGTCTGTGTTAAAATATATATTTTTTAATTATAAAAAAACTAAACAGCCTACAGTATTTTTACAGTCTTTATTTTACAGTTAAAATAAATGTTTATGAAATATCGTAGATCCCTCAAAAGGCAAAGCATCCAAGGTCAAATGCAGATCATCGYCAGTTTGAGGTTGGATTTGATTGACTCCAAAATGTAATTAGCTCTAAGTATATGTCCATTCACGTTGGCCTGTAAATTACAAAAAAATAAAAATTCTTCCAGATTGTCTTGCGATTAAGATGGGAACAGACACTCACACAGATAGACGCACAGAGGCGATTACAGTATCGCCCACCATTTCAATGGCGAGCGATAAAAAAACATCATAAATACATAAACACACTTAAACACAAGCAAAGTAAGAAAATGCAAACCTTTTAAATGACTGCACATTCTACATCTGTTTGTTAACTTCAAAGCAGGATTGTATTATCTACTGTAATTGCATCATTTTTAGGTCTGCATACCTTCTTGTGTTTTTAAATTCAGTGTTAATGTTTATGTTATCTAACTCCGCTAAACTTCCTTACAATACAGATGAAACAAAGGGAACACACGTTAAATGTACGTCAAAGCTGCGTACCTTAAACTGGATTGTTTTCACATTCTGTTTTTAAAAAATGCCAACATACGTGGAAAAATGCAAAACTTAAAGAACCAGTGTTTGATAGGTGTTTTGTTAACAACAGCCTTTCACAAAGACACAACCAACATAGTAACATTTGTCTGGTCCAGTTGCTCTAACACTCGACACTGATCCCGGAAAGAATGATGGCCCTTTGGTGGCCCAGATGTGGTGCCATGCATGGGCCAGCACCACATAAACCAAACCACGACTGGGTCAGTTGTGGCTTTTCATCATGAAAACAGCACCAGCATTTCCAGACCTGGTTGACAAACCACTTGTCACACCAGCAGCATTCAGTCAGCAGAGACAGATCTGGCCCACACCTAGCTGCTATGTGGGAACTTGTTGCCCCTTTTTTATTGAACTTATTAAAAAAGTTAAAGATAACACAGTTTGACACATAAAGTATTATTTTAGCATCAAGATGATTCTTAAAAAGCTGTTAGCTGAAAACCTGACATTCTGTTCAGATGAAAGACGGTGCATCCCTCAGGTCCTGTTTCAGCTTTTTGCTCCATTTCAGACTTTCAGATCCTGTTCATCAGCCTTGTTTTATCAGACCTGATGTGTTTCTTATACTTTGATTATTTGCTTGTGCTTTGTTGTAACTGCTTTGGAAAAGTACCTTGTTGTTTCACCAGGACATGGTTGTGTTTCTGTAACACCTACTGACCTCCTTGATGATGTAACTTGTCTTCTATTTCACAGCACTCCCACTAAAAGGACATTTTCAACAGAATAGCAACAAGTTTGTCCTCTAATCCTAGTTGACACAAACCACCACTTTCAAACAAACCTGTTGCTTTGCTGCAGAGATTAACTCTGTTGACAGAAACTGAACAGGATGAAGCATATGTTCCTGTTACTCAACAAGTTGCATCTGCTCATTGAATAATGCTCTTATGAGATGGACTTTCTCATTATAGGTTAGTTACATGAGGTTGTGATATAATGTATTTATATAGCACATATTGATCATACATCACTGCCAGTGACGTTTGTAAGGAGCCCGTGAGGGGACATGGGGGATCTTTTTCCCTTTTGCGTTCCCACGCAATAATTTTGCGTTCCCTCACAATATTGTTTTGCGTTCCCACGCAAAAGTTTGTTTTGAATATGAACTGCATTAAATCAGACTTTTATTTTGAAATATCCGGTTACCAAAACAGGATGTGTCACCACAAGTTCGTGAAATTGACATTGATGTTGCATGGCTGCACTGTGTTAAAATATTGGCATATGACATACTTCCATGCGTAGTTGAGTGATATATTCATTCTGAAGCTGAATTAAAGCAGTAGGCTAACTCGCTAATGGTGAACATGTGAGTTTGTTAATAAACCGGCGGGCACAACAGTGATAAACGACTTTTGCGAAGGAACGCAAAAGGTATTGCGAGGTAACGCAATACTATTGCGTGGGAACGCAAAAGAAAAATAATCTCCCGTGTCCCCTCGCGGGCTCCATACGTTTGAGAATTTTGAAGGAAGAATAAACATTTATTATGTTTCAGTTTAAAAAAGATACAGTTATAGAACTTTAAACTTTAGATAACTCAGAACTTAAGCTGAAAATTAATGCATTTACTGTAGTATAATTAGAAATATTTTCTAACAACTTTGTTGGATTTTAGTTATTTGAAATAATATTTCTTTTAAATGCTTTCAAATGTTTAGCTTTAATCTATTAATTATTATCTGTTACTGAAAATAAACTAAATTTGTGTTGTAAGGATCAAAATAAATTGACCAGATGATTCAGTATATAAGAATAAAACTTACAGAAAGCAGTAATGATTTGTTATTTGGTGGAAAGTTAAAAGCAGTGCAGTAAAAACATCCTGTATGTTGGAGCAACACTAATTTAAGCCATAAAGTTCCTTTTCTAGTGCCAGAGTTTACTTGGAGGTACAAAGTCAAGGGTCAGTTCAAGTGCACACACACACAGGTTCATTTTTATATCCCCGTGGGGACTACCGATTGACTTCCATTCATTTTCTGGTAATTTTATAGCCTAAACCTGACCATYTACCCTAAAATTAAACTCACAAGTACACACCTGACCGTTTAACTAACCTAAGCTCAATTCACACCTTGGTCCTAATCCTACCCCACACCCCCCACCCGGAATTAACATCCATACTCGTGGGGACGGGGCATTGGTCCGCACAATGCATATTCAGTCAACACAAGGCTGCCTTTTTCTGGAAAATGGTTCCCAAGATGTAGCAAAAACGTACACACACACACACACACACACACACAC